TCTAATTTTATGGCAGCAACAACAAAAAGTTTTGATTTTTTAGAGAACGACCTTCCACACAGAAGTTCCAAAAAAATGCGATTTGTTATGCTAGAACACACTTAATTGAATGTCAATAAAATTAAGTTTGCGGTTATATCAAGGAGAAATTTTAAGAACAGTCCGTTGCTAACTCTAAATATAAACAACGACGCACTGGAGTTAATATATTCAAATACCTAGGAATAACGATCGACGACAAACTAAAACAAAAAATAAATAAATATGGATTCTGTATCTTCAATTAGAGCTCTAGCAATATTTACATCGGTGGAAACTCCTTTTAATTCCATACGTTTTTGCGTGATGCGCTTGCAAGCATAAAGACAGACGAACCAAAATTAGNGTTGCTAACTCTAAATATAAACAACGACGCACTGGAGTTAATATATTCAAATACCTAGGAATAACGATCGACGACAAACTAAAACAAAAAATAAATAAATATGGATTCTGTATCTTCAATTAGAGCTCTAGCAATATTTACATCGGTGGAAACTGCTTTTAATTCCATACGTTTTTGCGTGATGCGCTTGCAAGCATAAAGACAGACGAACCAAAATTAAAAAAAATTTTAGATTTGGCTTCTGTTGATCTAATAAACCCCCTATTAATTTTTCTTTAACATCTATTATGTCCAGTAGACTGCATCACTCCCCATACAAAAAAAAAACGGTACTGTTTTCCATTAGAATTATAAAATCGATTTTATATCAAGATTAAGATGAATAAAAATAGTTTCTTAAAGATTTTTTTTTGAAAAAATCCCCTCAAATGACAAACGTTAAAAATATTTAAAAAAAAAATAAAACAAATTTTGAACGGAATCGTAATAGTGAGATTGTTGATGCTGTTTTTAACTTTTTTCAAAGATTGGTATAAGAAAAGCTTGAATAACTGAACCTAAACCTTTTTACTTCTTTGCTAATAAGCTCATTCAAAAGATGAAAGAGAAAGGTAGGATGAACGAACATTATTCAAAGTTGAATTAAGATTTANACTTTTTTCAAAGATTGGTATAAGAAAAGCTTGAATAACTGAACCTAAACCTTTTTACTTCTTTGCTAATAAGCTCATTCAAAAGATGAAAGAGAAAGGTAGGATGAACGAACATTATTCAAAGTTGAATTAAGATTTAGTAAGTCTAAATCAGAATAGTTTTGGCCCAGTTATTTAAGTTTTTCGTAAATCAATCTTTGAAAAAAGTAGAAAAACAAGCCCACGGGCGTTATTTCCATTTCGAAGGGGAAATATCGCCGACCAATAAAAGTAAATAAAGCCCGCGGGCGAAATTTTAGTAAAATAACTTCAAAACAGAGGGAGTTATTTATAAAATAGTTAAAATTTAATACAACTTTCAAATACCGTTATCTCGAAAACCGGAGCCAATCTGGTAAAACGGGGCATGCCATTGAATTTAGAACGTCCCAATTAAGTGAGTTCAACTTTCAAAATCTTTGCTCAAAGTTTACAACTTGAACAGCGTAATTTGAACCCAGCTTATTCTTTTGTTTTCTATTTTGTGTTTACACATATGTATATTAATCGATTTATTAAGAGATTATGAATAAAATGATAAATAAATAAATGTGCTCACAAATTTAAAAATTATTTTATTTTTTCAAAGTGTACCTATTTTTTAGATTTGCCCATATAAGTATTTACATACATTAACATAGTACAATTAGGGTGAGAAACGCCCATTTTAAGTCCATTTATGCAGTCTTGAAAATTGGAGCGGAATGGTTCACCGAAGAAGCACATTTTTCGCGGCTTCTAAATTTACCGTTATATGAAAGTAGGTGACGTGCAATAAGTGTTTAGATATACATACATAAATATTTTAATTAATTCCATTATGTGAAAAAGTGACTGTAGGTAGCTTGAACGAAAAACGTTACTCCCTGCCAGAGTTTTTTGTAATCCGGTTCTTTCATTTACATAAAAGTTATTGATACAATTGAACAGAACGAAGTTGTACCTAAATTTGCAAAAATTCGCAAACTATAGCTAATATTAAAAAAAGATTAGTATATTTGGAACCAGCGACCTAAATGCACGCCAGCAATATTAATGCTCTTCTTTACATCTTGTGACTATAGGCCAGTGCGATTATCAAGAGAACAATTAAAATTTTATTGAAAACAGATAACTTTAAGATTAACGATAAGCTAAAGGGCTGCGAGAAATGATATTTGACTTTATCTTTTGCGTTAATGGATTCATTATCTAATAATATGCACCAAACCTTTTTGCTGAACCCAGAATATTTAACAAGAATTGGTCTTATTCGAATGGTGTGCTGTGGGTCAGTTGGCGGTCAATGCGCGGATTCTTAGAATCGAGTCGAAGTTGTCAATAAGCCATATATTAACAAGTAAGAAAGTCTAAGTTCGGACGGAGCCGCATATGTCGGTTTGTTGAAGAGGGCTCTCTGAGAGCAGGTGTGAGAGTCGAGTAGCGAAAGCACTGGCTGTCTATTGTGATTGCAGCTTTTTGACGTTAAGCTTTCCTTGCATATTGGGGCGCACATTTTTTTCTGACGTTTAATTATGCCGTGTTAATTTGCCTGGTGTTAACGTATAAAATTATTTATTCCAACTTAGAACTGGCCAGAGGACCGTTACAACATTCAGAGGAAGAACCTATTCCAATATTTTGTTCCATCCGTGGCTTATCATATGAAGCGATTTGCAATTACCGATTGCTTTTTCATAATTAAGTTAAAAAAATATTTAAATTCCATGCTGGTTGTAATGGGAATTGAACCCTGACCCTCTGGAAATTAGCAACTGATGGCAAGCATCTTCTCGCACTCATCTACAGCCAGACATGTAAATGTGCATTTAAATGTTGAGTTTGAATCAATACCACGCGTGCGTGTTATGAAAGTATTATTTTTAAATACCAACATTTTAAACGATAGTCAAATAGAAAACATTCATGTTTACTACATATGCGTTATTTCCCTCAGTGAATTCATAAAATTTTCCTGAATATTACAACGCGTTCTTTCTCTTAATGTAGTGATTTTTAACTTTTATTCATATTTGTGCAATCAAATCAAAAACCGGGACACTAAAACGAAACCCGGGACATTTTAAGGTTGGACCGGGACACAGGGACGAATAGTCTAAACACGGGACAATTTTAGAATTTACCACTTCCAATTGTGATAAATATGGATTTCAAATTACACAAAATACGCGTAGCGGTGCGCGGTACCATTCCAGGCAGCAGGGCCTAGGGATGAGCCCAGTTTTTTCTAATAGCGAGAAACAACTCTCTCGTTCGGAGTCGGCGTTAAAGTGTAGGTCCATCCACTGTCTGTGGCAACATAAGGGCGAACGCCAAAAATCAGAGGAGAAGCTCGGACGAACACTAGCATTCAGTAATCGGACTTCTACCACATTGTGGTAGATCTGCCACCTTTTTGAGCATCTACCACATCTACCACACAAGGTCTGAAATCTACCACATATTCGCATTTTCGAGTAGTTTTATTTTTGCTCGACATAATTTTCTTAAGTTTAAGAGCAAAAATTGTCAACACTAAAGACTAACAACAGGCTGAATGGGATTATAAAATAAACTGTAAAATATTAAATTTTCTCAATATTAATTTTTTCGACAGGAGACGTTGTTTTATTGTGTTAAATTGCAAAATATATGATTTATAAGAATAATTAATAGCGAAAATGTTACAAAACGGCGATTTTTGTGAAAGTGTTAGCAAATTTCAGCAAGGTTTCTGGGCGTTGTTTACTTTTACTTGAGAATTGTCAAAATCGGCAAATCCCAAGTAGCGGTTTCTGGAACGTGCCAGATTTTTTCGCTACATCGTGATGTGAAAAAAAAAAAAACAGGCAGCACTCCGCAAGGTTGCAGCAATCTTTCAAAATATGTTCGAAAAATATCTTGATATGGAAGGAACTGCTTTACACGTTCAAGGAAAAAAATTGCCAAAACTCAACGCAATTTTTAGCAAGTTCAATCTTGCACTTTATTAAACTAAAATTAATTTTTTTTATATTCTAATTCAAATGTTTGCAATTTATGTGAAACCTTGCAGAATTTTTTTAATTTTTGTACAAAGTTTGATCCAAAACCTGCGATCTACCACATTTTTTTGAAATCTACCACTTTTTTCAGATTCTGCCACACAATTTTGTTTTCAAGTCCGATCACTGCTAGCATTTGTGTAAGCGCCAAAAGATGTTTTTGGGTTTTTGGCAACGAAGACATCTTTCGAACGAATTTCTCTCGTCCTTGGTCCTTCGACAGGCAATGGCAAACGAGCGAGTTTATTTCTGCCATGAAAACCCATCTGCCGTCTGTAGGTGGTGTAAAACTGTAGGCCCCTCTAGTTGTGTGACAGCATTGGAATTATTATGTAAAGATTTAACATTCCTAACAGAATTTAATTATTTGTATGAGGAAATAAATCGCGTTTAATGTAATACAATATGTTCTATGAATCATGTATTATCTCAAAAATTATATTTTAACAAGCATGAAAAGCTTCGAGCTTTGGCGTATTTATTTGTCATCACAGACCAATTTTGATAATTTGATGAATGATTTTATCATCTCGTGACAAACTTAGTGAAGCAGTTATTATAATTATACACAGAATATATGTATGTATGTATGTATAGTATAAAAGAATATACAAAAATTTTAAAATAATGAGAGAAATAGTTGTGGCTAAAATCGCATATTTTTCTAACCAAACTTTTTCGTGTGAATAATTATCTACGAAGAAAGGCGAAAAATCATTTTAATTACAATTAATTATTTTGTTTTGGAGTGCAACTTATTTAATAGGCGCCGTAATAGGCAATTTTCTAACGATGTATGTGCATTCACCCTAACTCCTTATTAACTTCAAAAAGATTTTATTTAAATATGGTTGTAATTTTTGACAAAATTTTAATACATTGTTTTATTATTTTCTTACAGTTCATATTCCAAAGCGCTTCAACATAGCAGTGATGTTGTTCATGGCATGTCTCATGAGTTATATGATGCGTGTGAATCTTAGTATTAATATTATCGCTATGGTCGAACATACGGATCCAAATGCCACCGAACCGCTCCCAAATGTAAGCCAAGCTTTCGATATAAATTAAGGAATTTAAAAACTATAACTTTTTTTTACTTTCTTAGTACGGTCCGCGCTATAACTGGACTCAAACAGACCAAGCCAACTTGCTTGGTGCTTACTTTTATGGTTACATGATTACTTCATTGCCAGCGGGTATGCTGGCGGAGAATTTCGGAGGCAAGCCAGTGGCAGGCTGGAGCTGCTTAGGCGCCGCCGCGTTAACAGCACTGACGCCGCTCGCTGCAGCATGGGACAAATGGGCTGTATTTGCAATACGTTTTATGATTGGTTTCTTGGGTGTAAGTGAAATATTAAGTTCTATTTAAATACTTATTTTAATTGAATTTGTTTACCAATTTTAGGGTGTTATCTATCCCTGCTGTCACAGTAAGTAGATGTCCTTTCCGAAACTGCCCAACTTCTATATCTGCTTGTCTTCAAACCCAGCAAAAATGAATTATGTCATTTATCTAATAAAACTTTCTTTTCATAATCAGATTTGGTCTCAAAATGGTCACCGCCCGATGAGAAAGGAAAATTTGTTGCTGCACTCATGGGTGGCACATTTGGCACTGTGATAACGTGGCCCATTAGTGGCATGCTCATCGAAGGCATGGGCTGGGACTGGTCTTTCTACATGGTGGGTCTCTTTGTTTTAATTGTTACATTGGTTTGGTTCTACATGGTCGCAGATAGTCCAGCACAACATCAGTCTATATCAGTCAAGGAGCGCGAATACATTGAAAAGAGTCTAGGCAATACTATCACCACAAAGAAGGTAGGTGCCAGTTGTTGAGTCCTGCTTTCCTTATCATAATAACTTGCTTTTTCAGAGGTGGCCACCATATAAAAGTCTGCTTGTCTCACTACCCTTCTGGGCGCTTCTGTTCTTACATTATGGTAGCATGTGGGGCTTGTTCTTCCTAATTACCGCTACACCAAAGTTTCTCAGTGAAGTACGTATTTTCCATTGGCAATGTGACAGTACCTATAACTCATTGCCGTAAAAATGATAATCCAAAACTCACATACATATCTTATTAAAGGTGCTGGGTTTCAACTTGTCCTCTGCCGGATTTCTCTCTAGTTTGCCGCATTTGGCTCGCTTGCTGTGCGCCTTTGGCTTTGGTGCCATCGCCGATCTCATCCGCCGCAAAAGTTGGTTGTCTGTCACGGCAATGCGCAAAGTTTTTTGCTTATCTTGTAAGTCGAAACTACAGACAGAAGTTGATTTGTAAACTTACCAATGAAATATGTTCCCGTTTGCTGGTAGATCGTTTCCACTTGTGTGCAAGAAAAACTAATTGTTCTTCATGTTTTGCCCAACGTTTCGCTAATTATTTTAGCATCTTGAAGGGTAAATATGAGGCTTAAATTTAATCAACTCTTAACAAAAAATTATTACAAATCATGGTTACCATCCCTCTGTTATTCTCGTCATACTGAGATCAACGAGAATAATACAGAGGTATGTAACAAAGATTGGCAATTTTTCATTGTTTTTGATATTTTACTGTTAAATGTTAATTAAATCTAATCCACATATTCGCCCCTGAAGATTGCAAGGTGATATTCGAAACGTCCGGAAATTCTGCAGAAAAAGTGGTTTCTCTTGCATACAAACGATATACAATTCGATCAATAACTCACTAAAAATATATTCCATCTACTCCATTTTACTTCCATTTCAGCGCATGTTTTGCCGGGTATAATGCTTATTATATTGGCATATTTCGGTCGAGATCCATACTTTTGTGTCGCAATCATGACGATCTCACTGGGTTTCAATGGTGCGGCCACGTCTTCTAACTTGCAAAATTCACAGGATCTAGCGCCAAACTATGCGGGCACACTTTACGGTATCATAAATTGCGTTGGCACTACGCCTGGCATTTTCTCACCAATGATTGTGGCTGCCTTTACTAAAGAAAGCGTAAGTGCAGTGAATAAGTGTTAAGGACTTTGTGAAATTAATTTTGTTATTTGGTTTTAGAACACCATCGATCAATGGCACTACGTCTTCCTGATAGGTGCTGCAGCCTACATAATACCTGCGGTGATATTTTGGTTGTTTGGATCTGGTGAAATACAGAAATGGAATGAAATTGATAAGAAATCGCCAAAGAGTGATACTATTAACACAAAATTGTAAAGAAAGTGATAACCTATCGGATATTCTGGTATTAAGTATTGTAAGTTTATTTATAGCGTAAGTTGTAAAAATTCATGTCAGTTGAACATTTTTAAAATGTAGGTACATAAATATATAATTATTAAGCCCATTTGTAGGGCTATAGCTGCGTATATAACTACATCTATATATAGTATATGCTGAAGTGATACACATATGNATAAATATATAATTATTAAGCCCATTTGTAGGGCTATAGCTGCGTATATACATCTATATATAGTATATGCTGAAGTGATACACATAGATACATGTAAATATGTACATACATATCGTTAGCTTAGAGTGAAAAGTTGCTAAGTCCATTTTTATAGGAGGGGATAAATTTCCTATAGCCATTTTCTTCAAGTATTTCCCCAAACTTTGAATACAATATTTTGCGTGTTTAAGGCAAAGCAAAAGTCCAAACGAATAAGAAGGATTCCATCTTTATTAAAAGATTTCTTATTTTGACTTTAACGGATTTTCGGTGCCTCTTTTGGGCTTAGCAAATTTTCCTTTCATGGAATATACTTAAACAAGAAAAAATAAAGCAAGTACCTTTATATTTTTCGAAACGATGCATTCTTAATTCCTCTAGCTTCCTATATCAAAATATGAGTTTTCATAAAAAGTGGGCTTAGCAACTTTTCACTCTACGCTAGCGATACATACATATACATACATAAAATCTACATATCGCACACAATCTTCAAAAGTGACACAACTCAAAATTTCACGTTCGTCAGAAAATGCGAAAAACTATTTCGTAGCACATGGTAATCATATGGGCAAGGGGACATTACCTTAGGGTTTTTCAACAAATTATAGCAAACATTTTCTCCAGCTTTTGCTCAAAGGTAAATAAAAGCTCTGTGTAAATTTTTAGTGCATTATTTCAACAATGCCAAATTTTGAGTGGAGTCACTTTTGAAGACCGTGTACGATATGTGCTCGTGCTGTGAGCTAAATAAATACTACATTTAGAACTAAACTGAAAAAATTTTTTCCTTAATCAAACACTTACTTCGCCTTCAAAACAAATGTTAGTCAAGCAGAAACCTATTTTTGTGTGGCTCAGAAATCCTGCGTAGATCGCTTTCGCTTCTGATTTGGCACTGCAACCATTTGTCGGCTTAGATCACGACTAAACCACTTCGTCGACTGTGTCTCTGCATTGCAAAGTTCCGTCGGTTATTCACATCTGGTGTAGGCAGATATATCTGCACTTGACCCTTCCATAAATTCGGAAGCGTCATTATGACTTTAAAGCTCGTAAAATATTACTTCCAGCGTCCTTCACTCGATCTGAGACATACATAAATATTGCATAAAATAGCTCTTTCAAAAGCCCCAAAGTCTTCTTATCCTCATAATTAATGTTTTACGTCGTATAAAAGGACGGGAATGATGGTAATAGAGATTGTTAGTCAAGAGAAGAATCTCCTTTTCAATTGCCAAAAGTAACACCCGTTAGCAAAGTTATTCTTCTACCGATCCTGGGTATTTAAAGTCCTCTTTTGGTTCTTGTTGTTTTGACCCCGTGGGTGTACCTATGATGTATTCTGGAATGAGTTTCCGTCATTTAAATGTAGAATACGTGATATTCAGGGCTATCACGGAATCCATCGTAGAAAATCTACGAATTTAAATGCCCGCTACGAATACGAAAAAATTGCTATCACTGAATCCGAGTGAACTCGAAAATATCGTTGCCAGCTTCGAATGCTGATTCGAAATCAGTTAGTGCAAAGGAAACAACAGACATTTATGTATGTCATTTTGCTCACGCTGCTCCATCAGGCGCAATGGCCGAGTTTGCAAAGCACTAGACTGCCAATTGAGAGAGCCGAGTTCGAGTCCGAGTCGTGGGGCAGCGGAGATTTTTTTTCTTTTTTTATTTAGTTTTTGTTTATTTTTTTAATAAATATTTTTTTTAAGTTTATTTTTAGTAGATTTTATTATTTTAAATAGAAAAAATTTTTTTTTTTAAATTAATTTTTATGATATTAAAGTAATTAGGTTTATTTCCTAATAAATTGTTGCTAAACTATTATTTCCTCGATTCATGCAAAATATTAATTCATTAACTAGCGCGTGTGTACATACCTATGTATGTATGTATAGCATTGGTATTTTACGTGTACGTTTACACAAATATATGGAATTATATCAAACTATAACAAATTTGGAGTATAATAAATATTTAATATTAAAAATAATACAGCTTTCGTCCACTATTTTTAAGATTGAATGATTTTAAATTTTGTTCCGACAGCATAATCTCGTCGAAGAGTATCTGTACGAATCTTCATTACGAACGGATTCAATGAAGGCTCTCTACGAATTTCGAATTTACGTTCGTAGCCATTCGGATTCTGTGATAGCACTTTCGTAGATTTCACGAAAATTTAAGCTACGATGGGTTCTGTGATAGCCCTGATTATTAAGATCACATTTAAGTTAAAAACGGTACATGAAATATTCGTTTTGATTGTATTGGATTGAATTTAATAAATCAATATGAATAGCAATAGAAAAGCAGATCCACAATAACTTCAATCATATGTACCATGAGCTTATAAATTGATATATGCCACGACGTGTATCTCTACTTCGATTCATTTTTATTTCTTTTCATACTGCAGAAATTTGTACTACTTTTTATATTAGCCAAGGAACCCGCGTTCGTGCTCGTCTTCGCTTTTGTATATATTTAACTATTGTATATATTTAGCTAAGACTTCTGAAACAGCTGGAACCCTCCTAAATATAGTTAAGATATAAACAAATTTCTTGCGTCTGATATTGTGATACCTACATATTTCATGTGCCTGATGAATTAAGTTAAACTTTATTTTTTTAATACGTGTCAACGCTCCTAAATACAGTTCAGAAATAAAGCTTTTTAAACCCATTTCATTTGATACCCATACTTTTAATAATTCCTTTAACTTATTAGATAGTTTAAGCTTGCCTTTTTGAACAGGTGGCAACCCTCTTAAATATTATTAATATTCAAACTAAGATATCTTACTACCTTCGTTTCACGTCATGCTTTAATATTTCATTTAACTTATGTATTCTATAAATAAATTCTAGTTTTAAAACAGGTGGCAACCCAATTCAAAATATTTTAAAACCAAAACCTTGTTAAAGCTTTTTCGACTGACACACATGTTGCAATACATATTTTAATTTTTTACCTAATTCCCTTAATTCAAGTTGAATTTAATTTCTAAAATATATGGCAACCCTCTTAAATAAAGTTAAGAAAAAAAAGATTTTTAACCAATGCCAATTTATACCCATACTTTAATAATTCATTTGACTTATTAAACAATTTTAGTTTAACTTTTAACACAGGTGGAAACTTTAGTGTTATAAATGCTGAAACTTAATTTTTCTTAACACACCTTTGTTTGACGCAAATATTTCAATATTTCATATAATTTAATTTAATTCGACTATTCAAACAGATGGCAATGCTATTCAAATTATTATCAAACCAAAACCTCGCTAAACCTTTCTCGTCTGACACTCGTATTGTGATACATATTTAAATTATATAATACTCTTAATTCAAATTGAATTTTATAATAAAATCAGGTGGTAATACTTCTACATGCAGTTTGGAAATAAAGTTTCTTCAAAGCAATTTTGATTTATATTCATATTCTGACATCCATATCAGGATATACGTTTCAATTCCTTCCTTCATTTAAGCCGAACTTGCTCTTAGAACAAGTGGCAACCCTCCTACAAACAATTAAGAAATAAAGATTTTTCAAAACCATTTCGATCGATACTCATGCTGTAATAAGTGATTTAACTTAAAAATAATTTGAATTTCATTTTTTTATCAGGTGGCAACTCTTTTTGAAAATATGAGAAGTGATTGCACATCCACAGTCCAAGCCTTTTAATTTGATACCTCATTTTGTAAAATCGAACGAACGGTACAGATCTGATATGATGAAAAAGTTTTCGGGTATTATGCATTCTGATGTACATAAATACATATGTACATTAGACTGCATCACCAAAAAAAGTTGCGGTTTTTCCGCCGGGGTTACAAAATGTATTATATTTTAAGACGTCCACCAAAATATTTCGGAAATATATTAAGATTTAAGCGAGCTGGACCGTTTTGAAAATACCTCCAAAAGTGGAGTTTTTTTATGAATAAAAATAGTTTCTTAAAGAACTTTTTGAAAAAAGTGCCCTTAGATGACAAAAAAAATTAGGCTTAAAAATTCTGCTTAAAATATTTAAAAATCTTTTCAANGTCCACCAAAATATTTCGGAAATATATTAAGATTTAAGCGAGCTGGACCGTTTTGAAAATACCTCCAAAAGTGGAGTTTTTTTATGAATAAAAATAGTTTCTTAAAGAACTTTTTGAAAAAAGTGCCCTTAGATGACAAAAAAAATTAGGCTTAAAAATTCTGCTTAAAATATTTAAAAATCTTTTCAACGCAATCGTAATGAGATTTTTGATGCTGTTTTTTTACTTTTTTCAAAGACTGACTTACGAAAAACTTAAATAACTGGGCCAAAACTATTGTGATTTAGACTTNTACTTTTTTCAAAGATTGACTTACGAAAAACTTAAATAACTGGGCCAAAACTATTGTGATTTAGACTGATCTCGTTAGAAAGGTATTTTCCCACTATTTTTATTTATGTGCAAAAAAGTCATTCGTGTCCCAATATTTTGTTTTCAAATACCAACACATCTTAATTCAACTTTGAATGATATTCGTTCATCCTACTTTCCCTTTCATCCTTTGAATGAGTTTATCAGCAAAGAAATAAAAAGGGTGAGAAAATACCTTTCCAATGATATCTTACAAGTCTAAATCGGGAGAGTTTAGGCTCAGTTAGTTATTCAAGTTTTTCTTATACCAATCTTTGAAAAAAGTTAAAAACAGCATCAAAAATCTCATTATTACGATTCTGTTCTGTTCGTGTCTCTGCACCAACTTATTGTTACCCGATCACTGCTCGTGTTTTAACGAAATGTGATTGAAGTTGAGCATTTGAAAGCACATTCGCATGTCTGGCTGTAGCTGAACGTGTAGAGATGCGGGCTGTTATTTGTTAGCTCCCAGCATGTTCCCGTTCGAATGCCGTCGGAGGCAACATGTAATTTTTTATTTTTGCTTTTGGTTTTTATTAATTTGCGAAAAAGCATCTGTGAAGTGAAGAACAAAAGCGTGTACAAACGAAAAAATATAACAACAATGCGATTGCTTATATTTTAAAGTAGTTTTGTGCTACTCTGATGTAATGCAAAGATGGAGTATACGGTCCTGCCGTGGGACATCGCAATGTTAATTGGACCATATTTTTTATATGAATTGTGGTTAATTTTGGGTACTCCTTGGTCCTTAGAGAGTACTCTTCACATGCATGCATGGAGTAGTCGCGATTTTTGCAGGGAAAGGAAAAACAGGCACACATTAACTGCAATTAACATATGTACATATGTATGTATGTATATACACGTAAGCTGCGATTAGGTCACAGTATATTTTGCTTAGCTGCACATCCTTCTTTGCAAGAAAAACTTGTGCACTTAACCGAAAAAGCACTTAAGCGAATTTTCTTTACTACTTCAATGAGGAAGGTATCCGAATCCCTATGAAACCAAATAGTGGCGGAGCACTTACCACGTAGAAATTACTGCAAGCGAAATTTTTACCGAATGGTATCTAATTATCTATATATGTAACTACAAAAATTGATAGCCATTTTCGTTGTTCTGCGAGATGAACAAAATAAATAAAAAGTTGTAAAATTAGGTAATTGTAGGGCCAGTGCAGGTAACGTAATACTTTCTTTGATATTGATACTAGTCGCAGGGTTGCCACTGACGACCTTTATATAACATATGTATTTAGTAACATCGAAATATTCTTTAACAAATGTGATATAGAAACTAAAACAAATGTTAATTTTCTGCAAACTCATCTACAGTCGCGAAAATAT